TAGGGTAAACGTACCTATTAAGCTCACCAAAATCTACATTGAGTCATTTTTAGTGCACAAGATATTGGTTTCAGTACAAGTTATATTAAAATATTAATCTCTCACACAAAATTACATTTTATTTTAAGTGACAAAAGCATTTGAATTCAGATATACATTAAATGTGAAAAGTCTGGCTGTGCTTAATGGGTACAAACCCCTGTTCCCATTAAGCTCACATCATGTTTTATAAAAAATTCTTGTTTATTTTGAACAACATTTTTATAGAATAATTGAAAAAAAAGTTTTATTTGAAGGTACAAAGTCAATCAAAAAAAAACAACAACACTAAAATCAAGCAATAAGGCACTCAATTTGATCAGTTATACATTCATAGTGAAGTGTCATTTAAGCACATTGCAACATCTAGACTAGTCCACATTCAGCGAAGTAACACATATTCAAAAAACTAACTATTTACAAAGCAGGTAAGTGTATGAAGCCTAGTGTTTTAAAAATCTGTTCACATTTTAAAAGTAGTGTAGCGTATTCCAGCCTTTAGTTGCTTTTTTTTTTTTTTTTGGGACCGATAAAACAGGTTTCTGTTGGCTCCATCTTTGAATGGAAGACATGCCTCTTTCATCTTTAGGCATAAACTATAGTTATGTCTCGATTTTGTCATCTTAAAGCTGTTAAAATAAGTTATTAATCATTTTATTAAGATCAACTTAAAGTGACGACCATCAGTTCATATTTAAAGTCTGTTTATGAAGTATTTACATAGACGTTCAATGAGGAAGAGCTTAAAGAGAGCACACTGAGCTTAATTGGAGCAGCAACAATTTAATACATTTCATGTAGTAATTAAAATGACAAGATTTTGCTAAATAAATAATCTAGGTCATGTATTAAGTTCACACATTTTAATATGAACAACTATTATTAACAACATCTATGGAACTATATTTTTACTTATTGATGTATCACTAAAGCTGTGTGATTTTTCATAGTAGTGTACCCTTTAAGCTCACCTTACAATAATATGAAATCTTTAAAAATTACAGCAGTTTAAAACCACAGACCAGCAATAAACTGTCAATTTATAATATTATGGATGTAAAAGTACAAGCCAGTAATGCCTGAGAAGTAATATATTAGCGTAGCACACAATCTTATACAGCTAGTCAGCTAACTGTGATCTGTAGCAACTGCACTATGTTGCTAAAAATCTTTTGGATCTAACTGTAATTATTTCCCACATCCAAGTTCCAGGTTATAATATGCAAAAGTCTTTTTAAGAGTTAAGTTAATCTCTTAATTTTACAGTAAGTAGTGAATCTTACCCAAAATAAAGGCTTAAACATCTAAAAAAAAAAATGCACATTTAAAGGGCTCCTCTTTTGGTGAATGTTTTCAGACAGCTTTCAAAATGGTCGCCAGACAGTAGCTGTGTCTCATTTAGAAGGCTACGTCCTCCGGAGGTCGCATTCGAAGGCTGCATACGTCATCGAGGCTGTCTCATTTCAGAAAAGCAAGTAGGACACTCCGAATGCGACCTTCGAATGCGACCTTCTTTCACAGGAATTCGGAGGATGCATGAGGTGTATCCTTCGCTGCTACAGATAACCCACAAATCTTTGTGTCGCCGTGAACAACCGTTGTTAGTTTGAAAAATGCCGGCACCGGCAGATGTAACGTACACACAAGCGCAGATGTGGTGTTTACAACTTACCTTAATTCGCCTCGGTAAAAATTGATAAAATTTGTTTTTAATATCCTCCTCCTTTTTTTCTCTGATAGATGCCTGCTGTAGGCACGCTGCAGCTCCTCAAACATTGAACAAAATAAAACAAGTAAAAGCATTTTTTTTTTTCAAATTACTTTCCAAATTTAGAAATAAATTTCCTTCATTTAAGTAGTGTGAGAGCGCAACGATGCTCTAAATGTGTTGGCATAGCAACGTGATACTTCCGGTTTCCTTTTCCGCCTGTCCTACGAAGGCCGTCTCGTTTAATTCTAGGTTGAGGACACTTCGTATATGCATCCTACAGAGGATTTGACCTCCGGAGGGTGCAGCCTTCTAAATGCTAGTGTCAACACATGGAGACCCATATCTCTGTGTAATTATCTGAATGACTTGAAATTACAGGAGGTATGTAGTAACAAACGCATCAATTGGTTAAGACATCAAGTAGGATAATATTTTTTTCTTTTTATAATCTGAGTTCAAAAATGGAACTGTGCTTAATAGGTAAGTTTACCCTATGTTCCCGTTTTGTTCCTGTTTGTCCTTATTTGGTCCTTCCTGTTCCTGTCCCCATTTAGTTCTATTAGTTCCAGGTGTTTCTCATTATTAGTTATCCTCCTCAC